TTTTTTAAATGGAGGTGCTGGGGATTGAACCCAGGACCTCACACATGCCAAGCATGTGCTCTACTGCTGAGCTCTACCCTCTTCCCCCATCTCTGGTGTGTTTTCTGCCCAAAGAAACCCCTCCTATTTGGGTTCTTTTTCCCGAGACCAAGCTTTTCATTTTGCAAATAGAAACCGTTAAATGCTTAACTACCACAGGAAAAGTAGATGCCTAATTCTACCAAACCGAATGCAAATGATCGAAGCCTTTGCAGAGAAGCAGGGCCGGGCTGGGGGGCCTGCTCACCAGAGCCCACTAAGGCGGGTGCCTCTTCTGCTGCTGGGTTTGGCGGCCACTAAACTCACCACGTGGGGAGTGGGCCCCCGTGGGACTGGCTGCCTCAGAGCTGCTGCTCTGACCCCAACGGAGGTGGCCTCTGAGCCTCTGAAGAGCACTGAGGGCAGGCCTGACCTGCAGCACTCGGAGGGAGAAAGTCAGTCGGTTTGGAGGACTTTTTGGGGCCCCCACCAGCCTCGGCTGCATTTTCCTGTGTGGCTCAGCCCCACACATGCAGACTGGTGTGAGAACGAAGGCCCAAGCCCCCGGCTCTGAACTGCCTCACTCCTCAGCTGGAGAATAGGGCTGAAAATGTTATACCTCCATGTAAATAGGTGGAGTCAGCACGACTGAGTGGGCATCCCTGTCCATCCATCGCTGGGGTGCTGTGGGCGGGCTCGTCTTCAGCCTGGATCAGGTTTGCTGCTCCTTGGAGTCGGCTGTTGTGCAGATCCTGGGCTGGGGGCCGGGTCATACAGGCAGACAGCGTGGTCAGCTGCAAGCGGCCTCGTGTGTCCTCCTGCCCCGGGTATTCTCCTGCACCCAAGAGGGTCTCGTCCTCTCTTCCAGGTGTTTGTCCGGAAGCTGCGCAAGGCCTATGGGAAGAGTGAGTGGAACACAGTCGAGCGGCTGAAGGACAACAAGCCCAACTACAAGCTCGACCACATCGTCAAGGAGCGGTGAGCAGGGGGCTCTGACCTGGTGCTGGGGATTTGGTGGGAATGAGACCAAGACCCCGCTCACAGAGCTGGCATCCTCTTGGAGGAAGCAGGCTAAAAGCAAACTGGCAAGTTTTTCTAATGCAATTCCATGTGTGTGCCGTGAGGGATGCCAGCCTTGAAGGGAACTGGAGGACACACGTCAGTTACAGGCTTGTCAGAGGAGATGTCTCAGAGGGGAGCCATTTGAGCCAGCCAGGGGAAGTGTGGTTCATGCTGTGCAAAGAGCAAGTGCAAAGGCCCTGTGGTGGGAGAGAGCTGGAGTTCCGGGGTACACATGGGATGCATGATTAGCCCTGGAAGACGTAGCTGGACACCTCTGATCTTAACCTTTTTCTTGCCCAGCCTTCTCAGCAGTCCCCCTCATTCATCGGCTAAATCAGTGGTTCTTAGCCTGGGGTCATTTTGCCTCCCAAGGGACACCTAGCAATGTCTAGGGATGTTTCTGTTTCTCATGACTTGGATGGCAGGGGGTCTACTAGTATTTAATGAATAGAAGCCAGAGGTACAGCTAAACACTCTACAGTATAATAGGACAACCCCCTACGGCACAGAAAACCTGGCCCAGTATGTCAGTAGTGGTGAGGTTCAGACACCCTGGACTGCCTAAAATCTCTTGTCTTCTCTTGGGGTCTGATGGCCTGGGAAACTTAGCTCCAGACTGGATGGATTTGACTCCACCCTGGTCCCCTAGGGCAGCTTCAGCCTTTTCCCAGCTGTCTGTTCAGGAGATGGTGGTGGCGGGTCCTGACCCAGGGAATGGGGCCTTGGAATGGCTAACAGGCTGGGGCCAGGAGGTCAGAGCCTGGGCTGAGTGACCCCGTGAGTGCTGCCTTCCTGGCCCCGCAGGTACCCAACATTCATAGATGCCTTGCGGGACCTGGACGATGCCCTCTCCATGTGCTTCCTCTTCTCCACATTCCCACGGACTGGCAAGTGCCACGTGCACACCATCCAGCTGTGCCGCCGGCTCGCTGTGGAGTTCATGCACTACGTCATCGCTGCCCGTGCCCTGCGCAAGGTGAGCCTGGGGTGCCTGGGAGGCCCCAGCCTGCTCCCTGCCCTGCCGCCCGTGTTCTCACCATGCTGTCCCTCCGCCGCAGGTCTTCCTGTCCATCAAAGGCATCTACTACCAGGCCGAGGTGCTGGGGCAGCCCATTGTGTGGATCACGCCCTATACCTTCTCCCACGATGTGAGTGTGCCCGTGGGGGGCAGGGGGGTGTGGGGGTGCGGGGCCGGTGCTCCCTCTCTGGTTCCTAGACAGAGACGAGAGAGTGAGGGGGGTGCTTCCTGTCCTGCAGAGAAAGCTGGGCTCCTGAGTGCTGGCCGGAGGGTGGGGAGTGTGTTGTGCACCATTGTAACAGGAGCCAGAGCCCGCCTGACTCCAGACCTGCTGGCTGGTTGACCTTAGACGTGTTCCTTTACTTCTCTGCGCCCCAGTTAATAACATGTTTCCATGTTCTAAGCCTTGTCGTGAGGATTTAAGGAAAAAAAGCTTTAGAAGTGCCTGGTGGTTGGCCCTTGGGGTTTGCTGAGCAAACAGGGAACAGCTGTATCACTGGACTCCTCTGCCCCCCCATTCCCATCCCCGACCCAGGGCTGGGGGCTGCGTGAGATCTGGGGGTGAGCATTGAGTGGCACTACTTAGGGATACTGCTTCTTATTTATCTTTTTTTCAGACTGTGGCAATATTTGGCCGGATCCATTGAGAGAAATCCAGGGTTGGCCTCTGTATGGGGGGTGGTTAGCCTCTAGTCTCCCACAGGGTCCCCGTCAGGCTCCCCTCCTACTTACTATGCTGTGGGTCTGTGTTTGGCCCCGCTTTCTGCTGAGAGTTGAGCAGAATCTGGTGCCTCCGGTGGAGAGCAGGTGCACCAGCCTGGCTGGATGGTGGGTTTGCTGGCCAGGGGGTGGGTATCCAGGTTGAGCTGGTGGTCTGGGGGCCTTGGGACCCTGCCCATTACTCTGGGCTGTTGGGGGCCCGGGCTGGAACCACGTCTTAGTGTGGAGCAGTGGTGATGTTTGGTGGCAGCCTGCGGTCTCTGTGGGAGAAAGGCGGGTGTGGTCCTCAGCCGCTGGCGTGCCCACTCCCTGGGGTGGGTGTGTGTGCCAGAGCCTGTGCTCTCCCCTTCCCCTGTCCTCCCTGCCTTCCCTCCTTCCTCTCTGGCCCTCCCTCTCCTTCCTTCTCTTTGATGTCCCACCCCTGCGCTGCTCAGACTGGTCTTTGTCCTCCCGGGTGGTGAATAGGGCCCTGTGGAAGCCGGCCTCCGCACAGCTGGCCCTGGGGAACAGGGGAAGGGAACAGGCCGCCCCTTCCTCCTTCCTTTCTGGCCAGCTCACTGCCACTGCTTCCTCTTAGCAGGAGGATGGGGGACCGGTCCTGAGTTGTCGCTGGGGCCCCAATATGCCCCCTCCCCCGGTGCAGCCAGTGCTGGGCACCCGGCAGCATGACCCAGGCAGGTAGTGGGGGCCAGAGGGCTGCTCAGCACTGTGCTGGGGGGGAGTCGCTGCTCACGTGCTCCTGGGCGTGTTGAAGGCCCTGGCAGATGCTCGTGTAAGGACTGGGGGTCGTTGGGGGACAGATGGGGCACCTCTCCAGCCCTGCACCCCCACAGCCCAGTTGCTGCCTGATGGCAGGATGGAGAAACAGCTCAGTGTCACGGGCGCACAGGCACCGAAGGGTTATTGTGAACGTTACCAATTTTGACGTTGCTTGACACATCCTCCCGTCCAGGTCCCTGGAGTTGGCAGGCCTCCCTGGTTTTGGGGGCGGTGCTGCTTAGGCATTGAGGCACTTTGGTCTCGGTCTCAGATCCTTGCCCTGTTTTGCTTTATCGTCTCCAAGGTTAAGGACGAGCCCCCCTGTGGCTCTTGCTTGCTCTGTGCTTCTGCCCCAAGCAGGCAGCTCTTCTGCCCATTTCTCCAGAGCTCCCTGGGGCTGAGCCAGGCAGCTGCCCAGCTCATCCCCGGTCCTCGGGTTGTGCCTTTGTCTCTGGCTTGGCCCCAGGGCAGGCTTGCTGGATTCTGAGTGTCTGTGCCAAGGCTGCTGCCAAGGCTTGTAGGCTCTGAGTGCCGTCCACCCACTGCCCCCACCCAGGCAGATGGACTGTTCCAGGGCTGCCTCTCCCAGCTGGGCCTCCAGGTGCTTGTGGGCTAGCCCTGGAGGCGACATTATACGAAAATTGTGGGATAAGTAATGGAGGAGGCACTAGCGGCCTCTGGAGGGACAGAAGTCTGACTTGCAGATTGAGGGGGAGAGCTGGGGCAGGGGAGGGGGGCGCCAGCCAGTCCTGGAAACATCGTGTCAAGGGCTTCCCTTTTCTAACACCTCTTGTCCCCTTTATGGCATGGGGATCGGGCTCTGGCCTCCAGGACACCCCTAACCCTTGGGACCGTGTCTAGAGCCTCACTGGTGCCCAGAATACTCCTGGGTGGGGACATGCCACATGGCCTCTTCCCATGGGCAGAGCTCTGAAGACAGGGCCACCTTGAGTTGGGGGGTCCTGATCCTTGGGCAGGCAGAACCCCCACCCTGCCTGGGTTGTCAGTGCAGTCTTTGCACCCACACTGCTGATTTGCCTCCTGTGTCCCCAGCACCCAACAGACGTGGACTACAGGGTCATGGCCACCTTCACCGAGTTCTACACGACTCTGCTGGGCTTCGTCAACTTCCGCCTCTACCAGTCCCTCAACCTGCACTACCCACCCAAGGTAGGCCCGGCCCAGCCCAGCACCTTCTCCTCCCCCAAAGGGGCCCTGGCCTTTCTCTCCCCACATGGAGGTGGGGGCCGAGGTGGGAGCAGTGGGCATCCTTTTTCTCTGACCTTCCGCCTGCCTCCCAGCTCGAGGGTCAGCCCCATGCAGAAGCGAAGACCAGTGATGACACTTATGCTTTGGACTCCGAAAGCTCTATGGAGGTGAGAGAAGCTGTCAGAGCACGGGCCCCGCCTCCCCCAGAAGGGTGGTTCCTGGTCTGGGGCTGGGAGTGGTCTCAGGGCTGGTCTTTTGAACCCAAACCTGCTGATATCCATCCCAGAACTGTCAGTGCCACCCCTGCCCCACCCCATCCATGCCCCCCGACAACCCCCCAACCTGCAAGCAGCAGCCCTGCTTCTTTCCCGCAGAAACTGGCTGCCCTTGGTGCCAGCCTGGCCCGCGTGGTGGTGCCCACGGAGGAGGAGGCTGAAGTGGATGAGTTTCCTGCCGATGGGGTGAGGACTGTGCTGTCTTTTAGAAGGGGCGCGGAGGCAGAATGGGGAGGCATAAGGACTGGGAGTTAAAAGGAAGCTGGAGAGGCTCCAACCTCTGTGTCCAGTGGGGGTGTGGGTGGGGCTGACGGTATGAGCGACCCCTTGTCGCGGCAGGAGGTGTCGGCGCAGGAGGAGGACCGCAGGAAGGAGCTGGAGGCTCAGGAGAAGCACAAGAAGCTCTTTGAGGGCCTGAAGTTCTTCCTGAACCGCGAGGTGCCCCGTGAGGCCCTGGCTTTCATCATCAGGTGGGGAGGCTGATGACACTGGCTCTGCCACAGCTTGGGCTAGGTCCCGCTCTGGACCAGGCAGCCCTGGGAGCCTGTGGGTAACATCAGGCTGGTGTCAGCATCCACTGCTTAGGGCTGTCGGGAAGATTTGACAGAATGGGCGAGGAAAGTTCTCAGCCTGTCCCCAGCATGTGGGAAACACTCATGGGAGGGCAGCTGGCATCACTTTCTTACCAGCTCAGGGCAGGAGGTCTCTGCTGGGCCATGGTGGGCACCCCATGCCTGAGCGCTCTTGTGGGCTCTCCCTGTGCCTGTAGGAGTTTTGGGGGGAACGTGTCCTGGGACAGATCTCTGTGCATCGGCGCCACCTACGACGTCACAGACTCCAGCATCACCCACCAGATTGTCGACCGGCCTGGGCAGCAGACCCCCATCATTGGCAGGTGGGCCCCCGAGGCCCTCGTCTTCTTCCGCTTGTTTGGGTTTCTGGTTATAGGGGTCTATGTCAAGTTCCCTGCAGATGTGATGACTCTCTGCCTCTGCCCTGTGCCAGGTGCTATGTGCAGCCCCAGTGGGTGTTCGACTCTGTGAACGCCCGGCTCCTCCTCCCCGTGGCAGACTACTTCCCCGGGGTGCAGCTGCCCCCACACCTCTCGCCCTTTGTGTCAGAGAAGGAAGGCGATTATGTCCCCCCTGAGAAGCTGAAGTTGCTGGCGCTGCAGCGGGGGGAGCACCCAGGTGAGGGGCCGGGCCGGGGGTAGGGGGCAGTGGGCAGGTTTCTCCAGGCTGTCCTTGGCCCTGGGCCTCAGCTGGCTGTTTCCCTTCTTGGCTATGAATGTAGAAAGCTCCAGAGAGCAGGACAGCAGGGGCATGAAGCCCTTTAAACCCACCTCTGGAATAAGGCTTAGGGGGAGGGCCGTTTGTGTTCTATAGTCAGGTGTTCTTGATGTTCGGAGTAGCTCAGCGGAATGGTCTGGAAGTTTACATAGGAGGCGACAGAGCTCAGGTGTCCAGAGCCTGGAGTTTCCTCTGTGGGGCAGTGCCAGAGGGGCCATGGTTGGGACAGCCCTGCACCGCCTTTGGACCATCCCTGTGGCCAAAGAGGGTGGTGCCCAGTGCCAGGTCTCACGCCACGGGGGAAGAGCAGAAGTCCTTGGCTGTTTGTAGGAAATTTGAACGAATCTGAAGAGGAGGAGGATGAAGAGGACAATGAAGGTGATGGTGATGAAGAGGAAGGAAAAGAAGAGGAGGAGGAGGATATGGAGGCTGGTTCAGAAAAGGAGGAGGAGGCCCGTCTGATGGCCCTGGAGGAGCGGAGGATGGAGGCCCAACAGACAGCCCCAGAGGAGCGGAGGACAGAGGCCCGACAGACGGCCCCAGAAGAGCAGAGGACAGAGGGGAAGGTACCGGAGAGTTGACTGGGGTCACAGCCTTGGCAGCAGCCCCCTGGCTGTCTTGGTGCCCATTTGGGGGTGGAGGGTGGTGGGCAGCCTGCCTCCACGAGTGTCTACCCTGTTTCCCCAGAAGCCCAGGGTGATGGCGGGCACGGTGAAGCTGGAGGACAAGCAGCGGCTGGCTCAGGAGGAGGAGAGCGAGGCCAAGCGCCTGGCCATCATGATGATGAAGAAGCGGGAGAAGTACCTGTACAACAAGATCATGTTTGGCAAAAGGCGCAGAATCCGCGAGGTGAGCCTCCGACCTGCCCGAGTTGAGCTTCGAGGCCGCGAGCTCTCCCGGGCAGACTCGGGGCCTCTCTTAACCCTTTTCTGAGGTTGCTTCCTGGCCCGGCCCAGCGTCTGGGGCCCCCACCCAGGCCCATGTGGGCATCTTGGTGTCAGTGTCCTTCCTGCATCCGGCGCTTTCTGAGTCTGTGGGGTCCGGGGCCAGAGCCGTTTCAGCAGAGCCAACATGCTTTTATGAAGGAGCGCCTTACGGAAGTGCATACACCTGGAGGGACTACGGGAGGTTTTGGTTCACCTTCTGTTTCTTTCTCATTCACAAAGCCACATACACTTACTATTTTTCAAAGAGTTTCATGCACACCGGAACTCTAATGGACGGCCTGAAAGCGACTCAGCTTTGCCCATGGGGTGATCCGTAGTAACAGCCGCCCAGGTTTCTTTTGTGCACGTAATGACATGGACATTATTTGGGGGGTGTGGTGCTGCATAGACAAGCAGACCTCCTTGGATTGCGTTTGCTTTACTGCATTTCATAGATACTGTTTTTTAACAAATAGGAGGTGTGGCAGCCCTGTGTTGAGCACGTCTGTTTAGCGCCATTTTTCCAAGAGCATTTACTCATTTCATGTGTCTGTCACCAGCGACATTGATAATTCTCACATTTCAAACTGTTTCATTATTCTGTTTGTTCTGCTGATCTGTGATCAGTGTTCTTCGATGTCAGTATTGCTAAAAGATCACAACTCATTAAAGGCTCAGGTGAAGGTTAGCATTTTTTTTTTGGCCATGAAGTATTTTTTGATTAAGATATATGCATTATGTTTTTAGACATAATGCTATTGCACCCTTGATAGTCAACAGTGTAGTATAAACGTAACTTTTAAATGTGCCTGGAGACCGGAAAGTGGCCGAGAAGTTCGGGTGACTGCCTTTATCGCAACCTTCAGTTTGTCGGGGTGAACTGGAACTGAACCTGCAGTATCTCCAGGGCCTGCCTGCAGGTTGTTTTGCTGTGTGTTTATCATTTAACCGTAGCCTGAACCTCTGTCCACGGCATCTTACAGTGTTCTCTGCTGACAGGGTTAGGTTGTCTGCCATTTTTAGTCATTCTTAGAAGACACTTAAGCACCTCTCACTTCCATCCAAGTGTCTCTGTAGGGTAGATTCTTAGGAATGTAATCGCCGGGTTGAAAGGCCTACCTGCTTTGTAATAGATGCTGCCAAACGGCCCTGGGGGAAAGCCTGTTCCAGGTTGACTCCTCCCTAGCAGCTCCTGGTGAAGGTTGAGTGGCACCCAGCTTTCCCAGGTCAAGGTGTCAGTGGGGCGGTTGCTTCCAGCTCTGGGAGCCTGTGATCCTCCTAACTTGCTGTGGGCCCATAAAATACTGAGTTAGAGAGGCAAAAGTGAAGGCATATTTCTTCACCCAAGGTGGTTCAGATTGGTTTGTTTTCCCCCATGGTAGTAATTTGCCTGTTAGCTTTTCTGGAAGCTTGCGTTTTACGGGGTGGCCTTGAGTGGGAGAAAGGGGGTTGGGTTCCTTCCCTGCCCCCCCATCACAGCTCAGTCCTCCCTTTTCTCCTCACAGGCCAACAAACTGGCGGAGAAGCGGAAAGCCCATGATGAGGCTGTGAGGTCTGAGAAGAAGGCCAAGAAGGCAAGGCCGGTGTGAGTGGCGGCAGCCCCTCAATGTGCAAGGCCAGCTCTGGACCAGTGGACTTGGCACAGGCAGGCCAGAGGGCCTAGGCTTGGTGACAGACCAGCGTCTCTTCTGTTTTCATCCTTCTCCTCCCTCTGCTGGCCTGGCCTCCACTCAGCCTCTCTGGCTGGGCCTCTGGGCAGCCCCAGCCTCCCTTAGATTGCGCTCCCTGCTGGTGGCTGGGTAAGGAGAGGCTTCCATACTCAGCCGACTTGATTCTCCCAGGAGTCAGCAACACATTCACCCTGGCTTTCCGCCGGCCCCCCCCACCCGCCATTCCCCATACCTACCCCTGCCGTGGGTTGGACCCATGGCTCTCCCAGTGCTGTGATGGGGGGTGAGGGTGGGGGAGTGTTTGTTATTAAACGGCTTGAGTTTTGCAGCCAATTGAATTCTGTGTCCGTGAGTTTTCCTGGGGTTGGCAAGAAGGGCCACCTACTACCCTGTGCTCTAGGCTGGCCAGCCTTCGGTATTCACTGAGAGGTGCTGGTCACTGCTCAGAGCTTTCTGGATGTCCATGGACCACTGTGGGTCCAGAGTTGCCAGAAGGTAGGCACACATTTCAACCCAGATACTTTTGCTCTGTTAACCTCCTTCATTGTGTGTAAGTTAAGTGTAGAAGTTCTGGAGACTTTCTCTCAGGGATGTGTGGAGGGTTCAATGATAATGTTACAGAGACTCACTAGTGTCAGGTGTCTAGAGGGAAAAGTACTCAGGAAATGCCGTGATTGTCATCACTTCCTGTTGGAGTCAATCCAGGAGGTAAAAGCCAGTGTCTGAAGGGTCTGTGGGGCCTGAGTTGAAGGTTCCTAGCTTTACCTTGTGGGCTTATGGACAAAACTGCCAAGCACCCCCAACGTGGGCTTTGTCAGCAGGCTGCCTTGAAACCCTGTCTGGGCCATCCTTACAGCTTCCCACCTGGCCCTGGTGGTTCCCTTGCAGAGGCCCAGGGGGACATGCTTTTGCTTGGACTGCCAGTTCCTCGTGGCAGAGTGAGGGCTGAAATCTGGAGCTTGGAATGGTTCCGCAACCTCTCCCAGGTCCAGTAGGGAGTTTCTAAATAGCACCCCCAGGGCACCCCTGTGGATTGAGTGCTGTCAGGAGCAGAGGCTGGGTGGGGAAGGATGGGTTTGGAGCTGGACTTCACTAGGTACATGAGGGCCTTGGCCTCCCCACCCCCTCACTCTGTAGAAGTGTCCAGGCTCTACAGAAGTTTTTTGGGCAGTGTCTTCAGGACCATCCTGTGCAGGGGGAAGGCAGGCGCTTGGTCAGGCTCTCTGGCTGAGGGAGCGGAGAACCCAGGGCCCTTGTCTTGCTGGGCCTCACTGTGGGTGAGAGATGTGTTCCACTTTGACACACTTCATGATTGTCGGGGGAGGGAGCAGGTTCCTTCTAGGGCCTCTGGAGTCTGCAGTCCTGGGGGATGACTTGGGCCTGGGTGCATGTGCATTGCAGGGCCATGGCAGGGGTGCCAGAGAAAGGCTGGAGAGCAGGCCCATCAGATATGGAAAAATCCCTGGCAGCCATGCTGATGTGGAATTTTCCCCATTCCAGAGTCGCCCAGTAATGGCGGGGGCAGTGGGGCTCTGACGTGGCTTATGCCCCTCTGGGTGGCCAGCTGGTTTTGCACTGCCCACAGCTGGAGCTGAGCATTCCCAGCTCCAGGCCGTTATTAGTCCCCATCCTTGGTCCTGCTCCTCTGAGGGTGAAGGAGGGAAGCTGGGGACTGGGAAAAGGTGGATCCTGAATGGGGTACCTGCATCCTGATGGCCCTGTGCTCAGCCCTGATGGGCACCCTGGAGGGGCGGGGTCAGCCGAGACCTCTCAGGGATGTGACCAGCCCCTACTCTCATCAACATTGCAGACGCCAAAAACGTGTGTCTGCACTTTGCGCGGCCTTTAGAGCCGGAGGCCATACTTCCACTGAATGAAAGTTAAGCAACTGTCTAGCCTCCTCCCTTTTTCCCAGAGCTGGGCTGCCCTCACCACCACCACGCCACCCCGTTTCTCGGGCACCCTCGAATCCCCTTCAGGGCTGGGAGCTCGGCCGAGCCTCAGGGTCCGGCGGCGGGACAATGGCCCCGTTTGCACGTCCGAGACAAACGCGCCTTGTTGGGCCGGCGGCGGGGGCGCGGCGGTGCGCCCCGGTGCGCTGAATGCGGCTTCTGTGC